TTCTGAAATGTCTGCAACTTTATTGGAAGGCCAACGAATTGCAAGTTTTGACTTGAAATTACCTTTAAATGTACAAATTAATAAACCACCAGATTGCAATAACGTCAAAAATAGAGGAATGCCGAAGATTTTGCAGCTATTGAATTTACACATTACAGGGACTGGACAGAACTTTGAAAGGTATTCGTAGCTATCAAAAATATTTTTGGTGGAGCCATAATTATATTTTTAGACTGTTCCTTATTTAATAATTATTCCCCAATTCACTGCTGCGGACAAACTAACCATCCAACTCCATACCTAACATCATCCAATTTGTGGCGGTATGTAAAGATCTAATTGACAAATAACATGCGAGTGTTTTTGCAACAAGATCAAAGTGCAAATATTGGAAATCGTAATATTGACATCTCGACCGAATTTCATTGCTCGGAAATTTCTGTTACTTAACAGACTCAAAAGAAGATCTTATGAAACTTATTATAAGAAATTATTTAATTTTAAGGCGATATGAAGTTCGACGGGTCAGCTACTATAATATAAATAAACCTAAAATACTGTGAATGCACAATTATTTATTGTATCTCTATTACCAAAAGGCCAAATGCCTAAAACCTAACAATCGTCATATAGAACTTAAGTCTTCGTTTATTAATTACATATTTATTATTTTAGAATTCCTTACATTCAGCAATATCAAAATTGAATTACATGGATATTTTGTAAAGTAGCAGTTTGTTTTATGTTTAAATTAAAGATTACAAATTCTTCACTATAATTTATTATTATATCATTATCATAATTAATATATCATTGTTTTTGGTCATTGAATAGATGATTTATAATAATAATAAATAACATTTATTTTCAATGTTTAATAACTCTCTAAATTCGCTGTTATCTTAACAATCCGTCAATGCTATGCGAAAATCAAAACGTCGAATTAGATGACGGATTTATAGCGAAATAAATACTAATATGGAATATTATTAATAAATATTATACATATTGAAATGTAGGTGCACTTATCTAAAGTAAACTAAACTATATCTTGAACATTCCTTGGCGTGGTTAAAAATTAAAAGTGTTCAGTAATTATAGTTATTATACTTATTATAAAAAGAAAGTTAAAAATTAATGTGGTTTTTTATTCGATATCAACCTTTCTTCAGGTACCATCGTTGCGAAGGTTGGCTATCTTCATGACCTTTTTAACATTAGAAACAGTCACTCTAAAGAATTACTCCGAACTGCATCAAAATCAGTCACTCAATTTCTGAGCTAATATATACGTCTTCTCCCGATATTTCTTTTGCTCACTATTTTTCTTTGCATGATGAGTCGAAGGATGTTGTATCTTTCACTACGCAGTATGTGCCCCATCTAGCGTTAATTCTTTGACAGGTTTTTCTACTTCTTGTTTTTTCCCCATTTCGGTACCTTCCCATTACTAACTCTGTCAGTCCATGATATTCTCAGAATACGTCTATAATACAAACTATATAAATTCATAATAAATTATTATTAAGTTACACTAAAAAACCTAAAAACAAAACATAATAAATTCTAACTTCCCGAATAATTTCTTAATAATCTATACGAACTTAAATTATATTCTAATTATATAGGTGAAGATGAATCCTCCTCCTTATTTATTGGGTCCTTGTAAGGGCGTGTTGACACTCTAAATATTATTGGCTTGCTGCCTCCATTGGCTGCGATCCTGTACCGTATGGACGTCTTCATGTGGGGATTTTCCCACCAGAGTTTTTATTTGGTCTGCCGATCGTGTTGGAGATCTTCTTCTTGGTCTTCGGCCTACTATCTTTCCTTCTACTACCAATAGTTCTATAGTCCCTGTTCTTCTACTGTTTTACTTTTTTTAAAAGCCCATCTTTTATGTGAAGCTCTTCCAGAATTATCAGGTTGGTTCTATAATTTGTCCAGGACACACGTAGAATTCTTCTATAGACCCACATTTCAAAGGCTTCGATCTTATTCCTATCGATTTTTTTGAGTGCCGAGGTGTTAAAGATGAATACACATGTGAAATACCGCAATGCTCTCGGTTTTTAGTCGATTCAGCTCAATCAATCGGTTACTCGGTATTTCTTGGTTAAACGGCAACAAAAAGTATTGAAACGAACGAACGATTGAAATTATTCGATCGTATTCGGAGTCGGTCACTGATTGATTCGCTCCTCGTAAAATGAACGATTGACACACACAGTCTGTACACACACATTCCAAAAGAGTATATTTTTCGTATTGATCCTACATTTAAAGGCCCAGCTTCGACACTATAATAATGTACACTGAACTTCTTCTCATTTCGCAGTCTCCTTTCGAAGGTTGGCGATCCAAATGGCAATTGTAGTTTTGGAATCTGCTGCACGAAATATTTCTGCGGATGAGCGGTCGAATCATCTCCTCAGGTCTTTCGGCTACGAGTTCTGGCGTCTTCCTACTGATCTTTTGCCCTGTACTTTTCCTTTCAGTATAACTTGAAGTAATTCATATCTTTCGCCTCTCAACACATGACCCAAGTATTGCATTTTCCTCTTTTTGATTATTCTTATTAATTCTTATTGTTTACACATGCGACGAAGTACCTCAAACATATTCTAAGCTGCAGACTAAGGTCTGATCTTGTAAAAAATGTTTTCATGGATTACACTGACAATTGATAATTACTCCCAAATATTTTATAGAATTCACCTGTTCTATTATTTGACCCTTGGCATACGTGTACGTTTATTTGTTTCCTTGAAAATACTAATGTTTTAGTTTTGGAAATAGTATAGTTCTGAGTTAATTCGTCACTCTTGTTCGTCAACTCCAGTTCTCAGAATTTCGATCATCTTTTGATGGTTAACGCAGTCAATGCTTTTCGATTGTCAATAAAACATGCATATACATCTACATTCATGTCACTCATCTGGAACTCGCACTTCTTGTAAATGCGTGTATGGATAATTCTGAGAAAAATTTTAAGGACATGAAACATCAAGCTTAATATTCGATAATCATCGCATTGTGAGGAACTCGTTTTTTTTTGTAATGCTACGAATGTTGATTTTAGCCAGTTTATTAGTATTTTACCTGTGTCATATCTTTTACTAAGTCTATGCTTTTACTTTCGTTATCTGCAATTAGTTTTAGTATTTCGACATTGATATTGTCTGGACCGGTGGCTTTTCCATCTTTCTGAGATTTTACTGCGTGAATCACTTCTTATTTGGTTATTTCTGGGATTTTTTCATTTATTCGATTATATGTGGATGGTGGAGAACAAGGTCTATCGTCGTTAAAAATAGTTTGTATATATTCTTTCCATCTCTCTAGTTTGTCTTCTGTACCCATAATTATTTCGTTATCATTTTTTAATATTGTTCCTTGTCTCTTTTTGTGTCTACCTGTCATTTCTCTTACTTTTTTATGAATATTAAAGGTGTCGTATTTTTCCTGAACTTGTTCGATTTCTAGTCATTTTGTTTACATCCATTTTTATTTCGCCTCCCTGCACTTTTTTCTAATGATTTTATTGATTCGCTTGTATTCTATTGGGCTTGTTTTATGTTTTTGTCTTACGTCCATGAGGTCCATAATCTCTTGCATTATCCATTCTTATTTTTTGTTGTGTTTTATGAACCCCTTGTCTTCTTGTATCTTTGTTATTTTTGTTTTTGGAGCCGTCCATGTTATTTCAATGTCTGTCTGTACCAAATTTTCGATCGTTTTTATTTCTTCCTCGAACTTGATACTTATTTCTTTTTTCTGTTCAGAGTTCTTCAGTTGCGAAATGTATATTTTTCTTGTCACTGTTTTCTTTTTGATTTTGAGAAATCTTTTTAAACTAAAATCCATTATAAGTGGATTGTGATCGCTATGTATACCAGCTCCAGGGTATGTTTTCATATATTGTATGTACTTCTTAAAAGTGTTTGATTTCTTACAATTCTGTCTTTTCTGTCTGCAGGTGGTTTCCATGACACTAAACACGTACTTTTAATTAAACGAGTCAGGTTTAGTGATAGGTACATACTAGATAAAGGAGCCTTCAATTTTATAAAACTTGGTCTTGCTTTCTCTATTCTTGCTCTTATTTCTGCATATTAGTTTTCAGTTATTAGTGTTCTCAGATAAACATACTTTTTTACTCTTTCTGTCGGTTTGCACCCAATGGTTAAAGTTTCATTATTTTTTTTATGTTTTATGTTTTTCCATTTTGTTGTTACGAATCCGCATGAACTCTATTTTTTTTTAATGTTGAGTGACAATCCGTACTCCTCACTGTATTTTGATATATATTTTGTCCATCAATCTCTCCAGATCATGTAACTTGTCGGTTATTATTATTTCATCGTCTGCGTATCGAACTTTGTTGATCAGTACCTCTTTAACTTATATTTCTGTTCCGATATTTAATATGGACTGCTAGTTGTAACACAATGTAGAAATTAACCTTAGATCCCGCTGGTAAAATTTTTTTTGTTATAATATAAAGGTAAAATTAAGCTTATACCCCGCTGATCAAGATTGTTCATTGTAAAAATTTTCATGAATTGATAATTGCAAGCGTTATCAAAAGCTTTCTTATAATCAATACAATAAACACAAAGGTTCTGATGACATCCAAATATCTCTGAATGGGTAAGTTTAGGGCAAATAAGCTTCCTCGAGTACTGACAATTATGTAAGCCAAATAGCGTGTCACTTCAACTAACTAACTATCTTTACTCTAATTTCAGCTACAACCTGGAATAATTATTTTAAAAAGTATTTTAAGAGTGTGTGACATGAGACTTTGAGGCATTTTTAGGTGGTCGCTACATTCTTTTGATTGTTATTATTCATTAACTCTATCGGTTAATGATTAAGATTAGTTCTCTGTGTTTTATATTTTAATTTGTTTAAATTTATAGTAGACAGTTTACTTTATTAAATTTTTACTTACTAAAATGTTTGTATTTATTTACATTATTTCCCTTTGTTTTTAGCAAATATGTGATAGAAGGAGTACATCCTAAAGCTAAATACAAACTAGTAGGATTAGCGAGATTAGTTGGAATGCAATTAGTAGTTATGGTAAATAGTCAGCATTACCAATATGTAAAAAATATATCTGTAGATACAGTTGGGACAGGGTTATTAGGTAAAATGGTAAGTGTTTAATTTTTTTTTATTTAAAGTACCAAAACAATGGATATTTTATGAACGTCTGCTTATTTGCCGTATATGCCATACTTTTCTAGTTTCTTGTACATTTTTAGCCACAATGTTAAGAAATAGCTTATTCTGACACAAGCCAAACTTGTTGCAAAATAAAGAGTACTACGCTTTAATTACCTAGTATTATCCCCACAATACTTAGGATTCTACTTAATATACGCAAGTCGATCTGGACCTTTGGATATATTTACAAATACCGTGGCATGTCTGTTACTGTTCGCTGTTACATATTATATTTACTAATTTGATATTTACTAATTTGATATTAAACATATATTTGACATACATATAACGTTGAAAAAATTTGGAGTAAAATCTTGAGATGATATAACAAATTTCGCTATCAAAGCAATAGACAAAGAACAAAAGAACATTTACTACAAAGAGGTTAGAAATAAAGTACAGAATCGGATTAAAACTAGTAAATACGCAAAAATACTGAGAAATATTCTATGACGCTTTATAGAATTGCATAATGGTTCCTTAAATACCCATAATTTCTTCAATGCTGTTATTTTTAACTCTTATCTTTTTTTGCAATCCTGAGTGATCTGATTGCATCCGTTGCCTGTTCCAGTTGAGTTAAATGAACTCCCCATTTAATATTAGTTCACTAGGTTCTCAAGTGATACAGATATATTTGGTCTTTTGAATGTTATTCCTTAGATTTCGTATTCTTCACTAATTTTGCACATAATACTCATTATCTACCTTATCTGAAGTGGTTGGATTTTGTGCATCAAGCTTGAATGTTATATGACTGATACTCGTATACCTTTCAGGTATCTGGTTTGCATATGTAAAGAACAGAAGACAGAAAAAAAAGAAATCAGAATTACATGCGCAATGGACGACATAGTAAGGAATGACATCGACATTATTTCCTGGGCATGATCCTATAACTAAAATTAATAAAAATACATCGGTAGGACCCACCGGATTAAAGACACTAGCCGTCGACTATTAGGAAGACCTCCTAATAGGCGAAGAGATACTTAGTTGTCAATCTGTATAGTAGGAAAGCATGCTCCGCAGAATGAACAGATCATATATATATGAACGGAGAAGTGGGTTATGTTCAACAGATCTTGTCTATTCGTTATGCTTTTTTAATATATTCATACGTATCTCCCATATTTTGTCTTATCTTATTGTTTTAAAGTAATTTTATATATATCATTGTTTTTGTAATTACGTTTTTTATGTATTTGTTCTATCGTTACAGGGAAATAAGGGAGGAGTAGGCGTTAGACTAGAATTACATAATACGTCATTATGTTTTGTAAATTGCCATTTAGCAGCTCATGTAGAAGAATTTGAACGGAGGAATCAGGACTACAAGGATATAAATGCAAGAATGAATTTTAGGAAAAGCCCACAAGCAATTAAAGATCATGAGTAAGTTTAGTTACTTTTATACTAATTTGCAATTAAAAAGTACATAAAATTAATTTAACGTAGGTATTACGGAGTATTTATTATAAATATCCTAAAGTAATTAATATCTGCTGCAAAATTAATAAAATTATACCTACGCACCTAAAAAACGTTCTCTTAAAAATATTTTTAATAAAATATGCCGAATGATCCATTCTCTCGTTACTTGTAATTTACTTGTAAGTTATTGAATCATACTCTATCTAAAGCCTGAAATCTATCTCAAAAAGCAACATGGCAAGTTCAAGTATTTTTCTTCCCTAATTCATTTACTTGTTATTGTTTTATTCTTGTCACTTAAAATCACATTTCTGGTCTGAACTCGACTGCGGATGCTACGTCCCCGACAGAATGCTTGAAAACGACAACTACAAATTATACTGGGACCGCACTGTGCTCATAGGAAAGATGTCATTCAGAAGCAGGTTATTCAAACTAAAAATTACTTGAAATATATTGTTAAAGATCCTCAAATCCAAAATGACAAATGCCTATATGGATGCCAAGCCCAAGAAACCATCAAACATCTTACCGCGGGCTGCCAGTCGTTTGTCGGGACTGATTATAAAGAACACCATGAATCAGTAGGAAAAATTATTCACTTAGATCTAGCTGACAAACTGCGACTTCTCCAAACCGATCGTCTTCCTTATTATCAATATGTCACTGACAGAATGCTTGAAATGACAATTACAAGCTTTACTGGGACCGCACTGTGCTCACAGACCAACCAGTGGCACGTAATAGACCGGATCTCATACTAGGTAATAAACTTACTAGGCAAACAGCACTTATTGATGTGGCGATAGCTAACACCAATAATTTGCGTGTTAAATACAACGAAAAGATCGTTAAGTACAGAGATCTAGAAAAACAAATTAGGAAACAGTCGGAAATATAAAGTGCCCAGACAGTACCTATTATTCTATCTACTACTGGTGTTAATCCCAAAAACCTTTTAGAGAATTTAAAACAGATAGGACTAAATGAACATCTCTATAAGGCCATGTAGATAGCTGTACTCCTCGCGACGTCCAGATGTTTACGAAAATTTTTGGGAGATACTCCAGCATACCAAGTCGCTTAGGGCTTGATAACACGGAAAGAGTCCAACCAGAGCTCAATCCTTTTGATACTGTAGGTATCTAAGACGAGTGAATAAGTACCGCCTGTTTTGTTTAAATAATAATTGGCAACTTTATCTTACAGATCTTACACGATTGAGTTATAGATCTTACACGATGCTTGATATTTGGTTTGTAATAATTCTTTCTTAATGTTAAATATATATATATATATATATATATATATATATATATATATATATATATATATATACCGGTATTTAGGCGTTACCTTCTTCCGGTAGGGATCTATGAAGGAGTATCACCGAGACGCAAGCCCTTATCGCTTGATGTACTGCTCCACCATACGCCGATCAGACACCAGCATATTCTAGTCTGAGTCGCAGATTCATCTAGAATTTTAAACTGCTGCGTTAGCCTTTTTGTTTTCTGTTCACGGAGCTGGGGATCGAACCCACATCCACTGAACCACTCGCAGTGAAGCGAATGAGAACCGGCCGCCCAGCCCGCTTGGATATCTGAGTATGTTAAAGTTAACGTAGTAAATATTGTTTTTTAAAAATCCTCAAATAAAAAATCAGGATTTAGTTCTAGTGAACGAGCGGGCCATCTAACTGGACCATAAGTTCCAAGATTATGAAATTTTTCATTCAATAATTTCCAGCCAAAATGATTTCCTCTTAGCCAAATATTCCTTATCAAAAATATCTATATCTGGCAGCAGTTAGTTGAGCCATAGTCCATTGTGTTAGTTAAATATTCCTGCACTGGATATGCGAGCTTCATCGCTAAATATTACCTTTGAATAAAAAATTCGATTTTCAGTACATTTTCCTATATACCATTCTGAAAATTGTATCGTTCTCAAACAGTATTCTTCTTCTTTCAGTGCCCTCTTCTCAATGGAGGTTGGCTACTACAATTACAAACTCTTCTCTGTCTTCAGCTGTTCAAAATTTAACCCTGTCCATTGTCGGATGTTTCTGAGCCACGATAGTTTTTTCATTCCTTTTCCACTCTTTCCCTCGATCTCAAATAGTCGTTTAGGTATAATTTTTGTCGGATAGAGGTACAATAAGGCCTACATTTATGTTTCCTTAAAATTCTCCCAGCACTTGTCTTTGGAATACGTATTTCCTATTTTATACTATGCTTTTTTTTTTATAAAACAACGTATTTAAAACTTTCGCTACATATTTTTTTTCATACTGCCGCCGTCTTTTTAGGAAACATCCATACTGTAATAAATTTAAATCTCTTGGGTGTTTGTCTTTTTTCTGGATATCTCGCCAATTGGGAGGGGCTAGTGATGATTTTATTCGGCAGTCATTACTTTAACGAACAAAATCTCATCTAATTTTCGGTATACTATACCTGCAAAGCATAACAATTTGGGAAACCCTGTACAAGCCCCTTGTGAACAGTTTTATATATAATACATGTGTCACTGTTTATTGTATATATGCTACGTCCATATGGACGTTTTTAGACTTTTTCCTAAGGATCAATAAATAGGTTAATTACTATATATTATTGACTTACTATTAGTGATATTGTCTTTTTATTAATTTCATCTTTTAATATGGGTAACCTACTGCATTCTGCATACTGTATTCTGCCGAGGATTTTGCGACTCAATTGGTCATATCTCAAAAAAAGAGAAAAATCAAAGAAGCGGCTGTAATTATGCTAAATTAATAATACCAAGTGCGTCGCAAATTCCTCGGCACAATACGGTAGGATCTGGTTACCCATATTAAAAGAGGAAATCAATAAAAAAATATATATCACTATTAGTAAGTCAATAACATACATTCATATAAAATCATCAGGGTTTGGTGTTGATTAAGAATAAACTAAATGTAGTAGTAAATAAATAGTAAATAATAGTAAATAAATGTCGGGATAGTATCATGAGGTTTTTTCCTCATGATTTATTATGGAATCACTAACACGAGAAATGTACTGTCATTATTCAGGAACGTAACTCAACAATATTGGCAATATCATTTTAAAGCCGTCTACTGTAAAATGTATAATATATGAATTGTTAATATGAATGAGTCAGATAAAATTAAATTATTAGAAGAATTTTTCAAAATTTGTTTAATTTATTGTTTTATATTTTGAGGTTTCCGAAGTGGAAATTGAAACGACAAAAATAAACTTATTTTAAACTTAAATTGTGGCTTATTCCCAACAAAAATAGTAATTGTAAGAAGATGCTACAAGAAAATAAGTCTTCAACAGTAATGTAAATAAATTATTCAAAAAAATTTTTTAGATCAATATTGTGAATCTTTTTCTGCTCAACATTTTTGGTGAGCTGAACTGTTTTTTGCCGTAATAAATATTTTTATCGCCATTTAAAAGCAAAATAATTATGTCCTAAATATTGTTTAAAAAATTATTTTTTGTATATTATGTTGCTTTATTATGTCACATTATTCATGCCATAGAGTTTATATTATAATATATTTTTGTGTAAAATAAATTGTTAGCTTTTATGATGACACGAGTTAATTACACGCAAAAGGAAGATGCATGGTTTTGTTTATGTAATAAAAACATTGTTGACCTTTACATTGACGGAGAGAAATATCTACAGGGACATAAAGTATGATACTGAAAAATCGTATCATGTATAATCAATATAACTTTTGTATATAAATATTGATTAGATTTGATACATTTAAATATGCTGTCTTAATTATTTAGTTCAAATGCGCTTGAAGAAGTAGGTTTTAACAGTTACAATTTAATATAATACAGTTATAATAAAATTCTACATACAAAGTAACTTTTTCGTCTTAATTCAAAGTAAATTATCTATTTTATAATAACTTCTTAAATCTGCCCCCTAGGTACTAAGCTCATTACTCTTTCGGGAACTACCCATGCTCCAATTTCCTGTGTGAGATTTATCTTGTCTTTTGTGTTTATTTCGAACACCTGGGTTTCTCAATTTCTATTATACTAGTTAATTTTGTTCTTGACGACTTAATTGCTGACCGACTATGGTTATTGTATTTTCAAATCCCTTGTATTAAGCGCTATGTGGATGATCTAAAATCAACCTCATCCAAGCTCTCAGTTTTAGGTTACACAGGTTATCACATGCGGCTAATCGAAGGGAATCCCTACTTTTACCTAGAAGTATTCTTGTCGAAAACTTTTAAATAGCTCTGTTGATAATACAGTTCTGCAGACTATAACATATGAAACTCCTTTGACCTCGTCAATATCCCATTATTCTTCTTTACCATACTTCCCTCAAGTTACAGACAAACTTTGGTACTCACGTACCTTTGTCCCCTCTTTAATTTAAATTAATGTTGTTTACCACATTCCCTGTGCTGAATATAATTCTTTTTTACATAGGTCAGACTGGGCAGTCACATTATCATCATTTTGGCTTTACAACCCTGTGTGGGTCCTAGCTTCCCCAAGAATTCTCTTCCAGTCGTCCCTATCCATCGCCTTCCTCCGCCAAGCACTTATTTCCATATTTCTCATATCTTGGTCTATGTTATCTAGGAATATTGTTCTGGGGTCTACCTCTTCTTCTTTGACCAATAGGTCTATCAAGGAGCGTTTTTCTAGCTCCATCCGCATTACATGGCCTACCCACCTCAGACGTCCTATCTTAATGTGGAATAAGCTCCCACCGCAGGGATATTAACTTATCTAAGCTCACTTGTACTCTGGCACATGCTATCACTTCTAAACATAAGGTCAATTATGAAGAGATTAAAATTTTTTGCAATGAAAGAAATTTGAAAAAAGGCATTTAAGTCGTAAAATTTATATTAAAAAAATCACATAAAAATGGAAAAAAAAAACTAAAAAATAATATTTAGATTTGGGAGAGAAATGTTTGTTAACAGAATTAATATTTAGAATGTAATATGTAAGTAAATTTATTGTATACAAAAAAAAGATAAATTAACTTACCACAAATAGTCTGTCAGACGAAGAACATCAGGCGTTAAAACTTAAAGCCATAATATTATGGAAAATCGAATACATTATTATTTAGAGCTGCTATTAATAAAGTCATAATAGCGAGTATGCTAGGCAAAATTATTTCAATCGATCGATAACATTCATATAACTAGAAAAGAAGAAACCTTACCTCCAGATTAAGTCAAATGCACCTATGTCGCATACAAGTTACTGATTATCCAGAATTATGTAATCTCAAAGAGTGAAACAATACAAAATTAAATTAAATATATTAAAATACCATCTAAAAATACATATTAAAGCTTAAAAAGTAACCTCTTAACTGTTGTCTTGTATATAGTATATAGTATTTACATGTAATCGACAAGAATTGGATCGTCACTTTAAATTATTATTTATTATAAATTAAGTGTCATGCTTAATGCTTAGTTTCCCTTCACATGCATGATTTCTGGTACCGTCTTTTTGTGCACTTCTAGATGATTTCTGCAATTATTTCACTCCTATGTCAAAATTCTATTAAGCTAGACTTGCTGGTAATAATTACGTTGGAATTTTTTATCAACTCCATGATTCCGTGTAATTCTTATTCGGCAACCAGTAATTCTTATTTGCAGCACTAAAAAATACTCGTCCTGCCTCACAGTTTCTTAGACACTATACCAAGTCCTTAATATTTATTTGTTCTTCATAGATGTTCAAAGTTAAATGTTTGTGCGTAACTGTTCCACACATCGTATAATTCGAAAACAACTTCATAAATACCACATCTATAAAGTTCATTAATATTTTAAAGATAACTTATTCACTACAGCTATGTTAGTTTATAAATGCCTAACAATACTTTTGTTTCAGACAGGTGTATTGGTTGGGAGATCTCAATTACCGTATAACAGATTTGACTACTACACAAGTCAAAACGTTATTGATAAGGAATGAAATGCCAACACTTTTAAGAGCTGATCAATTGAATCAACAAAAAGAGAGGGGAAATGTCCTTTTGGTAAGTAATGTTTGTTTTCTACTGACAAAATTAACAAAATTGATATGTATAAGGTTAAACGCTCGAATAAATGAACTTTAATCAAATGAAAGGCAGATATCGAGCACAGTTTTACTAATTAAATCTTGCCCAAGTACTTTTGCTTCCTAGAGCATCTTCAGGGGCATCTGAAATAAGCCAAGAAACGTTTTTTTAACTGAAGAAATTAACTAACTTCGACAAAAAACTCGAAGTTGGTGGTTGATAAAAGTTTTTATGTGATTAACGTTTTAGACTTACTTCGTCAATTTTGGCCTATCCAATAATTTATTATAGAATGTCATAAACATAAAATTGTACATTACACTACACAAGGACAAACACAAAAATTTTAAAAATAAGCGACGCTACATTATTGTCGGCACCAGGAGAGAGAATGGCTCCAGGTCTTAACGGAAATGTTAAGGTGACATGTGTCGTATGACAGCTTGGATGGGCAGTCACAATCATGGAGATGTGATATGTACATTTCAAAATTCTATGAAACTAAGTATTGACCAAAGGTCCAACTGACACTATTATAGGAAATCAACTGATGTACTATGAAATTATATAGAATATTTTAAGTAGATTGCATAATCCAGATCTCACATTCAAACCTGTCTATAATAATAAGGGTGTTAGTTTGAGGGCAACTGAAGTGGACTAAAGTATGGATGCAAAAAATACACTAAACAATGTATTAGACAGTGGGAGGTTGACTACAATAAAATGGTCTACTACCAAGCACTATCCATACTGTAAAAAATAAGAAATTTGACTATGCAATTAGAGTACTAAAATTAGAAATCAAAATTGAAAGCAGGGTGTATAAATGGGGTATAATCCAAGTAGTTCAGTTAAACTCACAGTCAATGGGAGAACTATAAAATTAATGTCAAAGCGTTACTCAAGACCAACTGACCAGCCGTGGTAGATGTTGAAGTATACAACTGTGGAGGTGGTATATCTGAATTACGCAGAAGTATAGAGAGTGTAATTAACGCCAACTATAGGTCCATTGAACCTGAGCTAGCTAGTTTTGTAAATGATTGAAGAATAAAATAGTAATGGTGCTGGATCCCCTGCGAGGTGAAGCTGCAATAAAGTTTTTAAAAATAGGTTTAAATTCAGTACAATTTAAATTAATTTGAGTATTAAGACAGTGAGAGTTTCCATTTGTTTTCTTTGTAATCTCCAAATCTTCCAATAAATCAAACTCTAAATAGTTTTTCTTTCTACTAATGTCATGTAAAATAGATGAACCAGTATTAATGTTAAAATTGTGTTTCCTGGATAATAAGTTTTGACCATAACTTGAAGAGTTTGGTCTTTTTAAATGTTCTGAAATTCTAGTAGATAACTTTCTAATGGTTCTACCTACATAAGAGGCATCACAATCATCACATTTTAATTTATAAATATAATACCACTTTTGTCAAGTGTGTTCATCCTATCTTTGGTGTTGATTAAAAAGGAACCTAAAGTGTTGTGTGATTTGAAGAAAATTTTTATTTTTTTAATTGTAGATAAAAGTTTATATGAATATGCAAGCTTTTCTGCAATTTTGAGTTTAGCTCTATTTAGAAGCTTATGGATAACGTTGGGATCATAACCATTATTGAATGCAATTTGCTTGAGAGTATTACGTTTTAAATTAAAGTTATCATTAGAAAGTGGAAATTTGAGTAACCTATGAATGTAACTGTTGAAAGCAGCCATTTTATGTTGGGTTGAATGATTAGATGTTTCATGTATAACATGATCTGTTTGGGTAGGTTTCCTGTAAATATTGTACTCTAGAGAATCTTTATTGCGAGATATAGTTATATCCAAGAAGTTCAACTTATTGTCAGATTCTGGTTCCAGTGTAAAAGAGATGTTTAGATGGAGGTTATTAAGATCATCCAGAATCTGTAAAGTATCATCTTGGGTTCCCTGTATTAGAGTTATACAATCATCAACATATCTTGACTAAAAAAACTATTTTGCTTTTGTTGTTAACAAATTTCTGTTCTAAGCTGTCTAAGAAAATATCAGCTAGAAAAGGTGATAATTTAGATCCCATTGCTAAACCTGTTGGTTGGTTATATATTTTTTTATTAAACTAGAAAAAGTTCTGATCTAGACAAAATTTAAGCATATATATATATATATATATATATATATATATATATATATATATATATATATATATAAATATATATATATATATATATATATATATATATATATAAATATATATATATATATATATATATATATGCTTAAATTCTGTAAAATAGAATTAACTTGCCCAGGTTCAATTGATCTATAGTTGGCGTTAATTACACTCTCCATAGCTGTGCGTAATTTAGATATACCATCTCCACAGTTGTATATTTCAACAGCTACCATTGTTGGTCAGTTGGTCTTAAGTAACGCTTTGACATATTAATTTTATAGTTCTTCTATTGACTGTGGGTTTAACTGAACTATTTGGATTATACCCATTTATACACTCCACGTTCAATTTTGATTTTTAATTTTAGTATTTTAATTTCATAGTCAGATTTTTATTTTTTACAGTATTGATAGTGCTTAGTAGACCCTTTTATTGTAATCAACCTCCCACTGTCTAATAGATTGTTTAATCTCTTTCTTGCATTCATACTTTACGTCCACTTCAGTTGGTCTCAAACTAACACCCTAATTATTATAGACAGGTTTGAATATGAGATCTGGATTATGCAATCTACTTAAATCATTCTATATAATTTCATATTTCATCAGTTGATTTCCTATACTAGTGTCAGTTGGACTTTTGATCAATACTTAGTTTCATAGAATTTTGAAATGTGCAGATCACATCTCCATGGTTGTGACTGATAAAAAACTTGATATTTATAGCTATTTATTAAAATTGTACTTATGTTTGTTTTTAAATATTTTGCGTGTGTAGCTGTATACTCTTAGTTTACTTATTATATACTATGCAATTCATATTAACATTGAAACACTCTGCACTACTTTAATTGTTGGTATTTTGGAACTAGTTCATTCCCAACCTCTTTTAACAGTTCTTTCGATAATTATCAAGTTGTACGTACATTTCCTTTGTGTCCTTATATAAGTATAGTATAACTACTATAAGTATTGTAGTATGGTATAAAAATAGCCAAATTTGAAGAACACGCTCAAATTGATTAACCAAAAAAGGTCCAGAAATAACTACGTAAGAAGATATCCATGCAATAAAAACACAAAAAAACTGAAAAGCTACGGTCCCGACAAAATCAACGTTGAAATACAATTAATTGCAGAAAACTAAAACAAAAGTCTAGACTAATGAGTCGAGTATAAGCCTCCCTTAGGTTACGGCTTTAGCCTTCCTCCTAAGGCTAAACATCCCTTAAAATAAGATATATGACTCGGGTAAAATACTATTAGAATGTTGAAAGAGGTTCTGAAACTGTTTTCTTGTGGTATATCTAAGTTAGTTATGTGTGTTAAAGTATGTTTATATGGGATTAAGCCACAACTGATAGTAATTGATTGATTGTTTGTATATAAATTTTATAATTGTTGTTTGACGTTTAGACTTCTACTCCGGAAATCGTTTTCAAAATAAATTTTTTTAAAATATTGAAAGTATTATTTTAGTCAAAAAAACAACATATGGTGCTATAGAAAAATCTTAAATGCTTTGCTTTAAAAGCATTAAAAAGAGAAAGTTAGAGTACTTCGGACATGTAATGAGAAGTCCCAGATATAGATTATTACCAAATATTATGCAAGATATTGATATGGTATTGATACAAGCATGCTATTTAGGGTGGTATTCAATAAAATAAGATAACTATAATGGTAACCAACGTTCTGTTAAGGACATGGTACATGAAGAACAAGAAAAAAACAACTTTTTGGTTATAAGTTAAAAGTTAGTATTAGTAGTTAAAATTAACATTTGTACGCCACCCAAAATTCCTCACAGTCCCTTTTCCTATTCCAGATAAGTCCCTTATCTCATTTCGTTAAAACTTTCCTCAGATATTCGCACAAGAATTTGCAGGATGTGCGAATGTCAGATGGATAACACGCAGTTCTGATTTAGAAATAGATACGTGAGATGAGATGAAAACGAGCGAAGCTCTTTTTTCTTTAAACGTACTTACACAACGATGCAGAGACATGGATGTAGATATATACTTTATGTATGTAGATATATACTGTATGTTTTGTAGACTATCTAAAGACGTTTGATTGCAAAAGATGATCGAAATTCTAAGATCTAACGGACACGTATCACAGAACTCCACTGGTTCCAAACGGCAACACTCGAAATAGAAGAAACATAAACCGAATATATACGGAATACACGAGGAGTACCGAGTATAACCTTTCAATTCATTTGGCGTTGGTGGGATTTTCAAAAAGCATTCGAAGCATCGAAGAAAGATGGAAGCAATTGGAGAGACCTACATTCAGGACTAGATGGAAAATCGTTGACGAAGAATGAACGTGAGGAGTGAGACATGCCTGTGTTCTTTTGCCAATTCTATTTAATCTTTACTCTGAATTTTTATTTAAGAAGCATTGAAGGAGACCTAAGGTGGAATGAGGTCAACGGAACGTACCAGAGTTCCAAAGATAACAATTTCCATTATAACGAAATGATTGGCATACATCTAAACGTATCCAAAACCAAAATACTAGTTTTTTCAAAGAACGTTAAAAAAAGAACCAATAACTCTATAAAATATCTGGTAGCTTATCAACAGTGACTGTAACCCAAAAACGCTATTTAAACTTGAAACTTGCTATTAAATGCATGAGTAAACAAATTGAGCTGTTTAACATTATCACAGTAAAAACAATACACTACTTGAATCATGAAACAATACAGTAGGAAGACTCCAGAACTCGTGGTTAAAGGATCCGGGGAGGTGGTTTTTTCCGCTCATCTACAGGAATCTTTCGTGCTGCAATTTCCAAAACTACGA